GTTCGTTGTCGGTCCGGGCATCTCGCTGTTCTGCATCTTGTTGCTTCCTCAGAAGCATAACTCTAGGGACTCTTCCTTCGAGTGCAGATGGACAAGACTTCACTGGATCTTCCTGCCGAACAATCCCTTGGCTTCAACGTCTGGGGTATTGCGGAATTGGCCCACGCTCGTACTCTCCGCTGACACTCCGGTGTTTGAAGGGCCGTTCCGACGTACATTGGGAACTCCTGTACATCACCCCCACTCACGATCGTCTGGGGAAATACGAACCATTGATCTCCTATGCAAGCTTGACAGTTCCCTGTGGACCGCAAGCAGATCGAGTCTTTGACAATGTTGATCGTGCATGAGTGCAGCTAACTTCTTCACACTGGAGACTTCCAGGTCGCAATGCCTCCGTGACCGGTCTTTGGCTAGATAACTTGAGATGGTGTGAGAGCAGGTCTTGTGATGTTGCTTCTGGAGGTCCTGGGGAAGACTTTACTCGCTCGGTTTTCATGTGTGTGCTATCATTGTTGGACTAGACGGACAACCGGCAAGTTGATCTCTCGACCGTGAACTCACAAACTCTCAAACCATCGTAGTGGTTGCTGTAGTCTTGAGCATCCACCAAGTATCTTACTTTGCCGAGGCCGTATATTTGTCCATTCTGAACTGTCTATACTCCTCTGCGGTATTTTATTTTGAAGATGCAAGGTTGAAGTTACCTATTGATTGTATGCATCAAGCTAGCGTCTATTGTCAATCAGCTCGGTGGATTACCCAACAAACAGAACTTCAACAGCCAATTGCATATCTAATGTCACAATGTTCCACGCGATAAAAACGTACCAGAAAAGTATACTGCAGAGTCTGTGGTCATAGAATTATCCAGAGGGTACATGGAATAAGAGCGATAGTGAGCTTTGAGTGCAGGACGAGGACAAGACAGATGCTGTAGGGTAGTCAAGATGTGAAAGTCAAGGTGAACTCGGTCAGGCCCCACCAAACTCGGTGAGTTCGCTGAGCTTTCGCGATAAGATAAGCCAGAATTTAATTTTTTCGAGTCTCTTCGGCTTCCTCAACACCATACGACCGCGATAGCTTCGCAACCAGGCCCGACGATAACAATGGCGCCAATTGACCACGCCGCCGCCAAGGCTGAAAAGAAGGCGAAAAAGGAGAAGAAGCGAGCCCGAGAAGAAGATGCAGCTGCCGACACCGAGCGAAAGCATAAAAAGTCAAAGAGTGTCGCTGCCGCAGATGTACCTGAAGCAAGCAGCGATTTGAAGGCCGAGAAGAAAAAGAAGAAGAGCAAGAAGGAAAAGCATGCCGAAGATGATGTTGCGCAAACAGAGACAGAAGCTCCTGAGGTAGAGGACAAGCCGGAGAAGAAACATAAGAAGAAGAAGAAGCATCACGATGCGGAAGTTGCAGTCACAGAAGAGGTCGACACCCCGGTTGCAGCGGATAGCGAGAAGAAGAAGAAGAGCAAGAAGAAGCACAAGGAAACCGAAGCAATAGAAATTGCAGAGCGACCCAAGAAGTCCAAGAAGGACGAGACCGCTGTTGAGCCCGAGGAGGATGCTTCACCCGCCGACCCTGACGCTATGGATGTTGACATGCCTCCTCCCGCCAAACCCTCAAAGTCGAGCAGCAACATTTACCAACCACCCGATATCCCCGCGAACCCTCAATTCCCCTTCTTCACACAGACAGTGTCACTCTACGAGCCTCTCTTCCCCATTGGCTGGGCGCAGCCTGTCACAAACTGCCAGCAACAGCACCTCTCACACCTCCGAAATAAGTATGTGCCTTCACTGCGCGGTGTTCTCCTCGATTACAAGAATGTCGCTTTTGGTGAAAACCCTGGACGAAAGGGCGCGGCTACGGATGATGAGTCGCCAGCGACTGTCATGGCCAAGGGCGAGTCTGCTGTTGGTTTTGGCTGGATCACTGCTGATGTTGATCTTTTCGTGCCGAGTCGCGGTGCGTGGATGGAAGGCAGTGTCAACCTGCAAACGGAAGGACACATTGGTGTTGTCTGCTTCGGCAAGTTCAACGCTTCAATTGAAGCTCGTCGACTTCCTCCCGACTGGAAGTGGGTTCCCAATGAATCCCCTGAGGCCCAGGGCTTTGAGGAGACCGCTTCAGTCATCACCGCCGACGATCACGGCGTGGTTCGTCAAATCCACAGCACCGGCTTCTGGGCCGACGGCAACGGCGACAAGGTTAAGGGCAAGATTCGCTTCCGGATACGTAACTTCGACGTCGGCACCAGCGGTGAGACCAGCTATCTCAGCTTGGAGGGTACAATGCTAGACAAGGCTGGTGAGAAGGCCGTTGTCGCTGAAGAGGCAGAGACAGCCAAGATGCGAAAGGGCAAGAAGGGCAGCCAGCGCGTTCAGAGAAGACGTATTCCTGAGTTCGCAATGACGCGCTTCGCTGTAGAGGGGGAGGAGCAGACGGAGGACAACGAGGCGGAGAAGCGCGAGGTGTTGGCGCTGCCCGAGGATCTGTAAGAAGAGAAAAGCATGGGACTATGGGGAGCCAGGAGTTGTGTGATACCTCGATTTAATGATGAACACTGTTACCAAAAAGTTTGCGCTAATGCTAAAAGATCGCTGCCTTTGTCGTTACAAAGGATTCTGCCCAGTACTTATATACAAAAACGACCCGATCCTTAACGCCGAATACGTGATACATAAAGACTGCTCATGCGGCAGCCTTGACCATAGGCTCCCATGGTCGAGCCAAGTTCCAGAGATATACTTCTCCGACGGGCTCTTCGCCTAAAGCCTTGACAAGAATGTGTTGAAAGAGAGGGACGTTGGAGAAGAGAGGGGCGATAGGAGAGATCGATCCTCGATCCCAACCTGGAGAAAGACCATGCGCCCACGAAGGTTGCCGGACGAAATCCTCAACTTTATCGTGATATGCATCCCAATCATCAGAGTGATCGTTCACAACAACCTGAAACCTCACACCCTGAATGTCAACAGTGATGCGCTGTACCATACTTGGAAACCCAGCCTCAGCACCCGAGCTCAGAATCCAGGAATAATCTGTCTGATCACCGTTACTCTCCCAATCATACCAAACCTGTGTTCCCATTTCAGAAAAGTCGTTAAGAACAAGACGACCTTCCGCATCAAAGCTCAGCTCGCAATGTCGTGCATCAATACCTGGCAGTGAAGGCAGAACAATATCGCATGAGGAGGGATCGGACCCGAGAATGAAAGATCCAGGGCGTTTGGGAGCTTTGTCGAAAGAGAGTTTGATGGCGCGAGAAGGACGGCTACCAAGGAGGTTTGGAAGCCGGGAGAGAAGGGTTGGGGATGAGGTTGTTTGCACAGCGCGGGAGATGTTGGAAGGTAGATGTGTTGTTTTGTCAGCGAGCGAATTTCGCGCTGTGGGGACTAGCCAGGCGATGATGTCGGACATGATGATGATAAAAGATTGAGGTTGAGTGAGAGTGGTGTTGTAGAGAGGGTATATAGTGAGTGGACCAAATATGGTGTTGACGATAGTGGTATAAATAGTATAACAAGGCTCAAACGAGAGAAGCCAAATACTTAAGATTGGTATAGTATAAATGATACGGTTGTAACAGAATAAAAGAAGAAAGCACGCTGAAGAAAGACTGTCGAGTTAATCTTGGTGGTGTTGACCTCTGGTTTATATCGTAAGTCAACACCTCACCCAACGCCGTTGCGCCGACAACCACTGGCCATCAATGCACGGCGCCGAACGCGACGCGAATACCATGAGAGGCTCAGATACAGAAATACTCAAAAACACTTGTTTCAATCTGCTAGGCTGCTCTGCGTTGTGGTGTTTGAGCGTGGGTGAACGAGAGCCAATCATTTTTGGTGGTCCTGGAGATGGAGGTATTAGAGCCACTGAACTAGAAGGGATAGGCACATGATTGAGGTAGAGAGGACAGAAGACATTTTAGTCAATGGTAATGCTCTGGAAAGGTTTGGGTGAGGGGATTTGGTGTGTTGTTTGGAGTGGTAGGTCGGGATATGCTTAATTGAGTGGTCGTGGAGTTGGACCCTGCATGCATTCGACTGACTCATAGAGTGTTTTGTTTCATGGACTGTGTTGTTGAGATGTTGCCTCGAATAGAAATTCATGGTTGAAATGAGATTTGTCTCTGAAGAGAAGCTTGGCTTTGTATCTAGGCATGCTGTAACTTGTTCCATACCAATTAGGCAAGCATCAACCCACGAAGTCGACGTTACTCGAGAAGAACAGTCAAAACATGATACGAAAAAGGAGAAGGGGGTTATTTTGAGATCGGATCTGGGCGGCTAGGCTTCTCTCTTGGTTATTGACGGAATGGGATTATCTGAGAGGCACGGTCTTCGTCTTGGCAGCTTGTTGAGAAGCACGGTGTCGAGTTCTACGGCAGCAACAAGAACGGAGTGAGTTTGAGCAGTTACCCTGAGAAAAAGTACTAGAATAAATCTTTTGATTGTATGTCATATCCACCCAAAAGCCCTCAAGCGTGGTCCCTTTGTGGCACATTGTCTAGTTTACACAAAAGGGAGACTATCAGGATTTAGTAGCTGAGAAGGATGAGAGAATTTGTATACATGTTAAATTGTATACTTGTTAAAGAAGTCTCTAAACTAAGCCGGTGATGCTTGCAAAGGCATTCATTTTGAAGGGGATTATCATAAATAGTCCTCTTTCTTCTAGGTTGGACTTGATCCGATAAAATTTCCTTTTCTATCTGATATTTACAGCCTTGAGTATTACATAGAATCTTTACTTCTACAATAGTATCTTGAAACCTTTAGGTTAAATCTTAAAATAATACAGTAAAATACCAGGATGGTATCAGTCTACCTTCGGTTTTAAGCATGGACTGAGCGAGAGTATTGGTTCGTTACATCCCATAGGAAGACTTTGCCAAAGTGAAGGAGTTCTTTGTGCTTTTGGCTTGGTCCAACAACTCTCAGGTATTAACACAACTTAGGAGCACATGAAGTATTGTGGAATTTCTAACCCAAATGAGATGTGAGGTGTTCTTCGACTTTTGGCACTGCGAGCCAGCCGCCAGACAGCGTCGGTGGTTCACTGCCGCTTGCCAATGCCAGCACCAAAAGTCGTTTTCCCTTCTCTTTCGAAGCCCGCGATCTTATTTCTTCGACATACCTGACATTTCTCTCATTCTCTTCCTCATTGTCATTTCATCGTCAACTTCTATGATGGATGAGCCCGACGACCACGCGATCGCCGTCAGCATTGCGCAGGCCGTCGAGGCCGACGCCGAACTCATTGCCGCCCTAATTCGTGAGGATGAACAGGCTAGAAGAGACTTCGAGTTTGCCAGACAGCTTGACCAAAACCAAAATGCTATAGCTGAAGCTGATAACGCCGTTGACCATATTGGGCTTGATGACGAAACTTATCGTACATTGCAAGCTTTCAACCTCGCTGTTCAGCCGACAGATGACGCTGAAGTGGAAACGGAACTCAATCATGAGGATTCCCACGATGCCATGACTGTGAGTGAATAAGATGAGACAGATGATGGAAACACCGCTGATGATGACCCGCAGGTTGACGCTGAGGACCAAAGCAATTGCGAAACTTCTCAAGATGACGTCTCCCACCTGGAAGAAGTTGAGATTCAGGCAGAGGACAGCCAAATCAACGGCATCCAACCCGAGGACACTCAGGAAGAGCGAGATGCCGACGAGCACCCAGGAATCGCCCAGGCTGCATTCCCCGCTCCTCCAGACCTACACGTCGGAACGAAGGAGTGTCTCTACTGCCACGAAGAGATCCCCGAAGATGAGGTTTTCGAAGCACTTTGCTCCCACGTAATGTGCCAGCCATGTCTCATTAGAAGCATTCACACAGTGATGAAAGAGGAGTCTCTCTTCCCGCCAAAGTGCTGCGGCCAGGTTATTCCTGTGGACAACACAAATGCTTTCATCACTGAGGAACTGTTGACCGAGTATGAAAACAAACGGGATGAGTTCGAAACAGCCAATCGAACTTACTGCAACGACCGGGCATGCTCTGCATTCATACCTCTAAGTTCAATCCATGCTGGTATTGCCCACTGCACTCGCTGCGAGAAGCGGACGTGCCTCAACTGTCTGAGCGAAGCACATGAGGGTGCATGCACCGACGACCCTGAGTCACAACGAGTTGTTCGCCTGGCGGAGGAGGAGGGGTGGCGCCGCTGTGAGCAATGCAAGAACATTGTTGAACTGACCTATGGCTGTTTCCACATCTGTAAGTTTATCGACCATGTGGTATCTCATTCAGCTTTTGCTCCGTACATATCTAACCGTTTGTGTGATGATATAGCTTGTCGATGCGGCCACCAATTCTGTTACCTATGCGGGAGACAATGGAGAACCTGCAACTGTCCCCAATGGAATGAGCGTAACCTCTGGGCGCAGGGAGGAGAAATTGCTGCTGCTGCTGCTGCACAAGTACGAGCAAGAGCACGAGCACGAGCAAGAGCACCAGCGCCAGCAGCGCGACCTGTCCAGCCCGCTGGATGCCGTCATCGAAGCTACAGGCCTTTTGACCGTGTGGATGGCCAAAATGAGTGCGACGGTTGTGGGACTGAGATGCCGCAATACATCTTGTCTTGCCCAGAGTGTGAACTCGTACTTTGCCTTCGCTGCCTCGAGACTCGCCGACGCCAGTTGAGAAACGCACGCTGAATTGTGCTGAGCCTTTTAGCTTCCTCGGATCTCTCCTCCACTCGGATCGAATTTGGTGGGGTTGTTAGTGGTATGGTGAGAAACTCCATACAAACACTAACGTTGACGCCATCAAGTCGCTGGACAACACCATCCGCGGATACAGCCATTACCCTCGATAGCGGTATTTCCGATAGATACTTCTTGTAGCGATGGATATTCACAGAATTCAATAATAGAACTTGCTATATCGAGAAGAATACCAAAAGACCGAGCCAGAAGGAAGGCATTGTATCACCACCTTTTCAATTGTCTCGCAGTAGTGCACTTACGTTGACGCCTTCGACGATTTATCAACATGCGACCTCCAGCTTGGATACAACCACTGCTCTTAGCAAGCTCTCTTCTGTCTCAGAGTACCAATGCGTTATTCGATAACGGACCACAAGACCAGGCCGTCCTATCGCCAAATGACGACGCTGCACAGAGTAAGCCCAAGACAAGCCTTAGTGGGAAGAAGAACATTGTCTTCATTCTCACAGATGACCAAGACGCTGTCCTAGACTCCGTCTCTTATATGCCCAAACTCAAAGAACATATAATTGACAAGGGCACATCGTTTGTCAACCATTTCACCACTACAGCCATCTGCTGTCCTTCTCGTGTAGCACTTTGGACAGGTAAACAACCTCACAACACGAACGTAACAGACGTCAATCCACCATATGGTAAGTTAAATAGCCTCAAGTACTACTCGAAAAGGATGCTGATCAGAAAGGCGGTTTCCCCAAGTTCGTCTCACAGGGACTGAACGATAACTACTTACCTGTATGGCTGAAAGAAGCTGGTTACAATACATATTACACCGGCAAGCTCTTTAACGCCCATACTATCAATAATTATAACTCGCCTTATCCTGCAGGATGGACAGGAACCAACTTCCTCCTCGACCCGGGCACGTATGACTACCTGAATCCAATCTACCAGCACAACCAGGAGCTCCCAGTTCAGCACAAAGGAGTGCACACTTCAGACTTGATTTCTAAGTATGCACACGAGCTTCTCAAGGAAGCCATTGATTCCGAGAATCCATTCTTTGTTGCAATTGCGCCTGTTGCGCCGCATTCAAATGTCAACCTCAGACGGCAACCGGGACACCCGAGCGCACCTCTTATGACCATTCCTATTCCTCTTGAGAGGCACTCTCATCTCTTTGAAGGGGTTAAAGTCCCGAGGACCGAGAACTTTAACCCGGACTCGGTATGTAGTACTGAGACCTAGAATAGAGTCAATGCTGACGAGAAAACAGCCCAGTGGTGTGAGCTGGATTCGCAAGCTCGCCCAACTCAACGACTCCTCAGTCTCGTACCTCGATGATTTCTACCGCGCTCGTCTCCAGGCTCTCCAGGGTGTTGATGAGATTGTAGAGCAAGTAACTAAGCAGCTTGAAGATGCTGGCATACTTGACGAGACATACATCATCTACAGCTCTGACAATGGGTATCATTTGGGCCAGCACCGACTGCCCCCTGGCAAGGAGTGTGGCTTTGACGAAGACATCCGCGTGCCTCTTTTCATCAGAGGTCCAGGCATATCCTCAGGATCCGTTGAGAATGCCGTGACTACACACATCGACCTTGCTCCTACGATTCTCAGGCTCGCAGGTGCGGACCTTCGCACCGACTTTGACGGAACTCCTATCCCGGTATTGCCAACTCGGGAGAACAAGCGACACGAGCACGTAGCGGTAGAGTACTGGGGCGGTGCCATTGCTGAAGGCGAGATAGGCGGTTTTGGTACGTTCGGTCGACCTCGAAGTTGAGCTTAACATGCTGACGGAGTGCTACAGATGGTAAGGGCCAGATCTTTGCGCAGAATAACACATACAAGGGTGCGAGGATAGTGCATGAGGACTACAATCTTTACTACTCGGCTTGGTGTAACAACGAGCACGAACTCTACGACATTAAGGTATGTTTGTGTCATTATAGTTGATCAGCTTGATACTCACCTCTTTTAGACGGACCCAGGACAGTTGAACAACCTCTTTCCTCGTGATGATGCAAAGGCCAGCACTGAATTCCTGGGAACCACTACCGGACAGGTCCTTAATCGCCTTGATGCTCTAATGCTCGTATTGAAGTCTTGCAAAGGCAACACGTGCATTGAACCATGGAAGATCCTGCATCCGGAGGGTGGCGTGGCGAGTTTGAAGGATGCTCTTCAGGCAAAATTTAATGCCTTCTACAAGGAACAGGTAAAGGTTCGGTTCGATCGTTGTGAGTACGGATACTTGATTGATGCTGAAGGACCTCAAGTCGGTTATGAGTATCGTGAGGGCCTAGAGTGGCATCATTGGACTTGAAGGGTTGTCTCGTGATTATGACCGCATTATTAGTTGTCAATAAAACATGGGCTATAAAATCTGGTGTTAAATAAAATAAAGCCAAGCTTCCATGTAAGGGTATATACAACAGGGGTTCTTGTCGATAATAACTGGCGATTAATAAGTGACAGATCGAGAGTCGGCCTTTGTCGGCATATGTTATGGCATCACGACTTTATCATCCTAGGAGTGGAATTCCCCGGCATATGGCCTTGCGGTGTCTTTGAGCTTCGCCAAAGCTGGGCATGCGTATCGTGTTGTTCTTACGTTATGAACACCACGAGGTCCCAAGTTTGCTTTCCCTCCAGCACGCCCGAGAAGTTTGTGAGAAATGTCAAATAGGTTCAATTTCAGACGAGCAGACGGCGCTCCTAGAAGGCCTGCATATGAGTTTCAATAGAATCTTTCAGAAGTCTGGTTATTTTGATGGGCCTGAGATCCTTGCCATGACTTCGGAACCGTAAGTTAGAGCGTTACCGAACAAAGGGCAGCAACGAAATGCTAGATGCGAATGTGCTGGCTCACCGGAGGTCGAAGCTCGTGGATTGAGGATTATGTATAAGAGAAAGAAACAAGAAACCAGAAAGATACGGAGAAAGGCATTGTGCAACTATCTTCCCGATTACATGTCCGTCTCTTCACCGAGGTGCAGGTCCGGAGCCGGTGGTGCCCGGCCCCACAACCTCCGGCACGGATGAGGTTGAAGTTGTGATCATGACAGGCTCGCAACGAATCTTGCAAGATGACAAGAAGAATTATACTGAGCAAATAATACTTCCAGCGTTGCAAGCAGAATGATCAACAAAATCTACACTACAGGAAGTGAATTGGTGATATAAAGGCGGCGTGGTAATTCACGAGTGTTCATTGGACAGAAATCTATTTCTGCCGGAAATACAAGGCACAAACCGACGCATCCGACCTTGAACCGAAAGAGCATCTCACGACAGCTCTGCCAATCCAAGACAACCTCACATCTCGAAGTCCAATTGATCAGCAACATGGCTTCCGACGCTATCACCGAGCCGCGGCGTACGTACCGACCCGATAACTCATACTCGAGCGACTTTTCCCTACCGAATATCGACCGCTGACTTGCTGAGCAGAAGCGACCCGCGAGGAGATGCGCGATGCCAAACTCCCTCTGGCCTATCGAGACAGCTGCGCTCACCTCCTGATTCCTCTCAACAAGTGCCGACGGGATACGTGGTACGCCCCCTGGAAGTGCTCGGTAAGTCAATTACCTTTTTCCAGAGCTTGAGCCCAAGGAAGCCCAAGTCCGCGGCTACACCGAGCTCAGCTCAGCCCAGCCCAGCCAAGCTTCAGCCCAACAAAAAAGCCGATCATTACCGAGATACCAATGCCAATATCAATGAAACACCATGCTTACGCTAGAGGGATTGACTAGGATGAGCGACATAGCTACGAGAAGTGCCAGTACGTCGAGTTCAAGAAGCGAGTCGCCAAGATGGACGAGTTGAGGGAGTCCAAGGGAGGTGCACGAAGCAACTAGAGGGCCAGACAAACATTCCCGGGTATAGGGCCGGGCCGGAACTGTACATTTTTACAAACAAGCCAAGCCAATGTGCTTGACAAAGAAAACCGGAATAGAAAGAGGCATTCCACCTGAAATGAAACGCAATCGAGAACAAGACGAACGAGAAAGACGAAATTGTGAAATGATGGCGGAGCCTACATGGCGTGAACAACTGGAATCGATGGGCTAATGGAAATAGGCAAGCGAGGAGGTTTGGGCAGAGCCTCATGAGATGCTGATGCGCACTTCCACGGCATAAGAGAGGGTCCGGCAAAGAGTGGAGGAACAGTGGGACTTGGGAGTTGAATAGTGACAGGAATAAGAGCACGACTTGCAATGTCGCAGGACATCGTGGCGGAAATACCCTGTCTGGACCGGCACAAGACTACAAATACGCCGACGTGGTGTTGTGCCGGTTCCAAGAGGTCCAAGGGTGAGAATTATATAACGAGGCCGTGAGCCACCGAGAAATTGTGAAGTTGAGTTGGATATGATCAGGCAGGCAGAGTTGTGGCGTTTTCCATGATTCCCATCCATCTGTTGCCTGAATAGCATCAACTTTTTTGTTCTTCAGTGTATTGACCATCTATCGGCAGTTGGTTTCCGTAGAGCCTCAACACCAATATTTCCTATCGCCAAGTTCTTATCGGTCTCTGATCGACAGCTTGAGCCTTGACCATGGCTTTGAGAGTCACGATAAGATATGGACGACTTTTGCCGCTTTGTTTAGCCACTTGATGGCTGAGGCATGGTGAAACTGATGATCAACACGAACACCGGAATTCGTCGGCTCAAGAAAGACACAAGGGCATGACACAGCTCCTTTTTCCCTTGATCTTACACGCGATAGGGCAGATGACGATGAGTCGTGGACCTTATTGCGAGTGGCATGGTCCCAGCGCATAACGAGTCAGATCATGTTCACTTCAGCCTCAAAGGAGCAAGTTCCAGGAGGCTCATGCGCTGAAAAGAGCCGCATGCAGGCGGTTCGAGCAAAGTTTTACGCTATGCAAGGTCCCACTCGCCCCAAAGCCAGGCAGTCAGCGGGTGGCTTGGCGGCAAATCCACATTAGCATCCGAAGAT